GAATTTGGTTCAAAGATTTCTTTGAGAAATGAGTTTTCGATTTTTTGCTGCAAATCAAAGTCGAAGACGCAGGTTTTCCTTCTTCCTTTTTTAGGATTAAATGGGGTCCATGACAAGGAAAGGGGAATAAAGGGTGACACGGTATGTGAAATGGGCGAGATTGGTACACATCAGCATCCAACGTGTGAAAAAACGACATGCTGGCACAGGCTAAACGGAGATCATGACGGTGATGACGTGGCCTGTTAGATAATGATCGATTTGGGAAAATCGATACTTTTGGGGTGTCATTTGTCCCTGCTTTTTTTTGAGGGGTGGATCCGTCCCTACCCATATTTGTCAGGGGGTGATTTGAGGGTTCTGCCTTTTTTAAATAGGACCTAACCTATTATAATAATATTTTTGGGCACCTCCATCAAATAAGGGACTTTTAATTTTAAGTCTTACACCTATTTATATCACACTATATAAAACTGAGATAACACGTAGATCCATTTAGATCACATAATTTTATTGGGTTTTACTAGTTTTCTATTTGACTTAATTTTTAAAAAAATATAGTTAGTGGAAGTTTACATAAAAATTTCCAATATTCTCTCACTTGGGCAACACTAATTGGTTTTAAAATTTTAAAAACATATTAAAAAAAAAATTGATTCTTGGGTCAAACACAAGCCATAAATATAAATCAAAATCTCAGTATAGAATTCCATTTAAATCTTAGTATAGAATTTCATTTAATGAAAATATCAATACCGAACTGTGCGATCATTATGTTACTAATAACATAAGACTCCTCACAATCACTATCTTCACCAACATTAATTCTAATATGTATAATAAAGTGTAGTGTGGTTTGTCATAACGTGATCCATACAATATATATAACATGTTAAAACCACAATAGTTCTCTTTATGGTTTAAAAAAAAACCATTTTATTAGGATGTAATCCCTTTTATACTTTCCAAGGAAGCCTTTAAACTTTATTATGGTTTCATAAAAACTCAAGAGATAATTTCCCTCACTTTTTTAAAAAAACTTTTACACTTCAAAAAAAGTTCATACACTTCTAAAGAAGCCTTTTTCCTTTACACCTCAAAATCTCAGTAATAATATTTGTATGAGCTCATAAAAATCATCAATACAATGCACATGCATTATTATAAATAATAAGTGATACAATGAGTAAAATAAATTTTATTATTATTAGAGAAATCAACTTCTCTCACTAATCAAGAATATCTAAAATAATTCTCACAGATAACTAATAAAATTATAATCTCTTGATAAGTAAATAAATTAAAATAGTCACAATAATGCAAGATTATAATTATTATTCATAATTTTACCTTCATATCATTCTTACTTTATAAGGTAGATCAATATTTACTTTGGATATATTTTTTCCACCAAGTTCTGTCAATAAGTTATTTATATAGATAACTAACACCATCAAATATAAAATATTTTAATGAAAACAATCCTCTATTATCCATTACTCAAAATATAATATGATCTTTAAATTTTAATCAAACACAAAAATATAAGAGTGAGAAGACTTTATCAACTTTAATAAAGGTAATTACATTTTTTACAAAAATTATTTTTTATATAATTCATAACACGTGTTTAAAGGTTTCTCCATTGCAACCATGCTACTTTCTCATATCCTTAATCTTATCATGATATATTGAATGATTGAGAGTAATAAACTATTTAACTTCTATTAATTTTCTAGACACATTATTCTATAATAGCCTTTTATATATTTTCTAATTAAAGAAAGTTATTTCCTTAAATAATAATAAACATTTCACAAAATCTTAAATTTTGCATTACTCTTATCATAATTACTAATTGTCTTTTACCATTTTTTTAGTTGAACAACAAAATAGTAATATTGTACAATTCAAATTCATCATGCTAACATGTATCTCCAAACTTAATCAAACCATGTGCAATTAAGATCCAAATCATATAAGAGATACATAAATTAACACCAATCGCACATTGACAATATAATTTTAATCATAAACCTTTGTTTCTATAAGTTTTACGTACTATATTTTAATCCATAGCATGATCCACTTTAACTCATAAGAGTTCAAGACAACTATATTTTACTTTATTTACATTTTATGTTGATTAAATAAATCTATAAAATTAAACCTTAACAAGTTAATTAGTAGGAAAATTAACTTTTAGTAAATATAAATAAATATGTATCATCCTTACTAATTGCTCCCACTACTTCAAGTTAAATGCATACAACAATCACTTTTGGGCAGAATATTGCAGGCACTAATATGAAAGTATCAACTTTATACCATAAGTTTAATAGTTCATATGTGATCTTTCAAATAGATCAACTAGTTTTAATGATATAGTAATTTAATATAACCAATGGCTATGAAACTTTATTAAACTTTAGAAGTTTTATTACAAGTGAATGAATAAAAATGGTCTTACAGAAAATAATCCCCTTTAGGTGGAAAATTCTCTATAAAACCAAAGTAGAAAAACATCTACTAATCACTCATACTTCTTTTAGTTAATATGCACAATTACCCCATTTGGGCAGTTGATCATATACACTAATTTCAAGAAGTAGACATTCTAAAATCTTTATTAAAAAGATATGAATTTAATAGATGTCCCACTTTAGCAGTATCACCTACGTCAATTTGCATACTCTTATTGGAACACTTACCTATAAATAATATAACATCTCAGAATCCTTATTGGGAAAACATATGAATTTCAATAAATGATTTATTATGGTAATACCATCCACACCAACTCACAAGTTCCACTGGAACAAAATTTCTTAATATCCTAAAAACCTTATGTGATAGAAATTATTAGTCTTAATAAATAAACTCTTGATATTCATATTAATCATAAAACATTATTAGAACTATCATCTATATATATGGTTCCATAATCCCTCTCAACCATATACTTTATAATTCTTAATAATAGTAATTCTTTAAGTTATGAATTGAGAGAATCTTAAAATTTCTTAAAAGACTTTCAATACTAAATGGTTTCCTTACTTTAATACTCAAAGAAAATCATATAAGATTATTTTAATATCTTAAATAAACAAAATACACAAATTCTAAAATTCTTAAAACTTTATTAAATATCTTTTCTTTGACATTTTAAAATTTCATGCATAGTTACAATTAGACGATCACCAATATGTATAATAGACATATATAATTATTCCTTGAAGTTATTAATTGCTAACAAAATTTGTTATAAAACCAAAGATTTAACCTTAAATTCTGTTATGAGTTATACCCAAACTTTAATTCCATAAAACCTTTTAGAGGTTTAAAAATTGAGTGGTCAAACTATCATATACTAAAAATGCTACATATGAAAACAAATAACTTTACCTTGAATAAAATATCAATGAGTAAAATTGTACTCAATTACCTTGTACTATTATAGTTTGCCTTGATACAACTTGACGAATTATTAAAACTGTAATTCTCAACAATCCTTAGTGCATGTTTAATATATATTCTAAAAATTTTCTTAACTTTCATAAAGTTAGTAGAAAATAACAATTATATTTTTTCCAAATACATAATTAATTTGTATAGATGGTTTACTATCAACTGTAAATATATTATTTACATCCAAATATGAACACTTTATTTCTTTATTAAAAAATACACTACTAGAAAACTCATATGCTAAACCACATATGAAGATAAATAACTTTCATGAGAATTAAAGTTTTACAATTATCTACTTGTTTATTTATAACTATAAATTTTTTATTAATAGTCAAACTTAAAAACTTTGTAAATGAGTAGTACAACCAATTTGAAGAACTTTAACCCAAGGATATTACAATATATAAATAATGGATATAAAAAACTCTTGTACCTCTAATTGTGGCTAAATACTTTAGCAAAATCTTGAAATTTAATCTTTAAGATGTGTTTCATAATATATATCATGTGCATAATAATATTCACAAAATGATTTGAAACTAAAAACATGAAAAACATGTCTGATCAACAATTTATTTACCACTAACCATATATCTTTAACCTTCAAATATTGACACATATTTTATGTGTTACACTTAATATGTATTTTAATTTAGATAGAATAAATTAATATATATTTAGTATGTAAATAATTATTTTAATTTATAAAATCAAACCATGTAATAAATATTTTTCATACACATATAATCATAAAATAAGATTATATTAATAGATATTCTTCACATAAAATTTGATATATTATGTATAAATATCAATACATAATTAATATCAAAAGATTTAAAAACTCCCAATGTTTAATTGTTGTAGGTTACCTAAGTGTCAACACCCTCACATTATCTCAGCCTTGCACAATAGTTAAAACTGGTCATGTATCGACACCTTCACCCATTGTGAAAGAAACAAGTCTATGTTGGACTTTTGGATCATTGTGTAATTTCTTTAATGGTAAAATAAGTACTGTCCATCAACTTCTATATATATATATATATATTTTAATAATCTTGGACAACTTGAAGCAAAAAACCGAACAAATTTACACATATTCTCATCAAAGATTATGTTCTAGATCTCTTTAGAACAGAAATTGTAAATTCATGCAAACAAAAAATTATGAATCTTATAATAATATTTAGAGTACGATTCTTTCAAAAGAGCAATCATTAGCAACATTAGTATCATGATATGATTTCAAGATAAGATTACATGTTGACACATCAAGGTAAAGCAATTTTAATCACCGAAAAACAAAACGATGGCAGCAAAATAACTTCAGCAGAATTACAAAGCAAACAATCCATCATATGTTACTGATTGGATGCAGTGGAAATTTAAGTAGACAAAATCAAATATTTAATTAATTTCATGGGTCTTAGATCTAATTTGTGCGGCTTTGATATCAGATATTGGAATTTACTTAAATAATTAATTTTACAAATTAAATTCTAAAACACCAAATCATTCAAATAAGTAATATATGTAATACACAAAATCAATAAATAACTAAATTGTATATTTAAATCTCCATAATCAATATATTATTTAAGAATCTTTAAAGATTTTTAAAAAAATCTTCAAGAATCATTATAATTAAAGATCTCATGACAAAACTTATAAAAACAAATATAGTTAATATTTGATATTTAGGTTTTCCTCTCTCTATTCAACTTTTGTATAGTGATAATCAATGGATCATACTACTCTTTAATTTTATTATTTATAGAGATAAGGTTTTCTAAATAGGAGAGAATATCTAACTTATTATAATAATCTGTTTGGACATCCTATTAAGTAACCCACTTTTAATTTCAAATCCTACATTTATTCATATCACACCATATAAAACTGAGATAAAATTTATATCTATTTGGATCACATAACTTTATTGGGTTTTACTGGTTTTTTATTTGACCCAATTTTAAAAAACTAAATACAATTAACAAAGTCTGACATAAAAATTTCCGACAGTATACTCCTGGAAGAAGTGGTAAGTCTCAGTCCTCATGAGCCCCCATCACGAAAAATATGACTGCCATTGGTGGGATAGCACTGAGGAAGAACTGTCCGAGCCTCCACATAGCATACCATACAGTCAAGCAAAGAGAGGTCTCCATGACACTGAGCCAGACCGTAGTTAGTAACAGGTCCTGAACCTGAAACTGCTTGACCAAAACCTGTTGTACGTATCTGTTCACTGATCTTCTCATCGGTGGCAGAAAACTTCCAAGAATAGTCGATTGCATGCGTTACGCTGCTTTTCGTGGCCACACATAATTAGGATTGTTTGAGCTGTCGGATCTCCCCCCACTCCTTCAAGCAGTGTTGCAGCTCTCACAAGTAGCAGCAAAAAAATATTTTGGCTGCAGGCCAGTAGAGCTGTTCGCTCCATTTTCAGATTGATGTGTGGGGTGAGACAACTATCTCTGTATTTGATTATAATTACAAGAAAGTAGAAAAGTGGGATCTTTTTCTTAATTTGAAGAGGAAATGAGGGGCAACGAATTAAGTAATTTAATGTTAATCTTTTTTAAATAGAAATAAGAGTTTTTAAATTC